ACCTCTTGCAGTGTGATAAATTACTTAGTATGGGCTTTCTAGCTGTTGTCTTGGAACTCCCACCCAGGTGAATGAGTGGGGCTATAAGAATAACTGTGGCCCACCAAGGGGATTGGTCAGTTTTGCCTGAAAAGAGAGTCAATTCTACAGCAGAAAGAAGAGCCCACCACCACCAAGGAAGGGGAGACCAGCAGGAGAGACCCACAGGAGACGGCAGAGCGGGCTTCCCAGCCCACGGAGTGAGAAAGCTGAGTGCCTTTGGGCAGAGACTGAGGGCCAGGGAGAAGCCAAGGCCTGATCCACCAATTTGGGATTTGCCAGCTCCACAACTGTGTGAGCCATTTCCTTTATTGTGAGTTCTAGGAGAGGTTGTAGCGAATTAGGGAACCGGAAGATGGGAGGGAGAGTGCTGAGGGGAGAGGGAGTGGTTGATGTTAGAGATAATGAAGTAGTACAGCAGCCTGGAAAAGTTGGACATTTGGGACTTCTTTAACCTCCGCCTCATGGGAACCAGCTTTGTGCTGATCCTTATAAAACATTATTCATTTACCTCTTTTCTCAGAGTTTCCCCATGACGAGGCAGGAATAATAACGGTACCTATCACAGAGTTGTGAGGTTTAGACGAGCGATTACAAGCAAGGCACCCAATACGTTGCCTGGCACATGAGGATGCTACAGAAGTGTGAGCTGCTATTATTAGGGTCATTATTATCTCATCCATCTAGATTTTAAACTCTTGGAGAGAATTTAAACCCTGTGACACTCTTTCAGATTTCTTTTGTATCCCTTCCCTATTATTTCCTAGACTAAAATGTTATTTCAGGGTGCTCAAATAACTGCTAAACAAAGAAACGAACGACTCTTGTTTTTGAGATGTTTGGGCAGAATGAAATTGCTGAGCATATGATTGTCACTTACGTGGCAACCAGCAAGCAAGTGTCCATAGCTGACCTCATCTGGCATTCAAACCTATTTTGTTAAGAGGGAAGAATCTTTGTGTTAAAGTCAGTCTTCTAGAATAGAACAGGAAGGCCTTTCATCTCCACTTACAAAGCCACTTGTGAGCTGGACACAAGGCACTTCACCTTCATATGTGAAAAGGAAACATGAGCCATTGGGGTGAGAACATTGGAAACTGGGCTCCTGGGCCTTGTGATTTACCACCGGCCCTTCCTTCCTTCTTTTTACTATAAAAATGAATTGTATTAGATACGTATTTTTTTCAAAGCACTGGATGAGATGCATTTGGACCCTTAAATGGCAGTTCCCATCTGTCCATTCTAGTGTGCGTGCCGTCTGAGCTTTCCCAACGAGTGTTACCTCTCTGGAGATTTAAGTGAGTCTGGGCCTTGGAGTCAAGAGAGTAAAAGAAGCAATTTAGGAAATAATGAAAGCACGTGTCCTTCTGACACCATCCTCTCTTCTCCTGCCCTGAACGTTCCACCTCTCCCTCTCGACTGGATCCTTCCCGTCAGCACCGTAACGTGCTTAGGTCTCTCCCATCTTGAAAACAAACACAACAAAAACGCTCCCCTTCAGCCACCGTCCCCTCTCTCTTCTCTTGCTCACAACCAAATTTGTGGAAAGAGCTACATATGCTTTCCAGCTCCATTTTCTCATTTCCCACCTGTTCCAGGTTGGCCTCTGCCCCAGCAGTCTACAAAAACGCTCAGCACTTGGCCTCCATGCACTAAACCTAGGTCCCTCTTTAGTTCTCACCTCCCCTGGTGAACCTGCAGCCCTTGGCCCAGTGGATCAAGGCCTCTCCTTACCTCTCACCCACACTTCCTTACCCCATCCCCCCTCCACCCTTGTGCAGTTTCCATTGTCAACATAAAGGGCATATCCTTCCACACCTTTCTGCTTTGTGTATCCATAAGCGCATAGATAATCCACAGGAAGGTGTGTTTATATGTTTGTTTTTTCTGATACAGAATCCTATTTCTTCATTTAACATTACATCCTAGACAGTTACAAGTCAGGAGATACATAAAAATTTTTTATTTTGGTATATAAATGTATGTATAGTCAACACATAGCTAAATGAGTAACACATCAGAACAGGTCATTAACACTTTTAGAAATTACAGAGAAAAACTAGATTGTGCATCTGGGGGATACTCTTGAGTTTGCCTTTAGCTTCAGCAGGAACAATGGGTGAAGCTGCAAGTCCAGCTCAGCATAAGGCAAGGCCAGCATAATGTACCCCGGCCTCTGGCCCCACCCCGGGAAGACCATCTTACCTTTACAGTCGCTAAGCAGCTAACTGAAAACTGTGGCTCACTATCTGCATTTTAGGTCTAACCATTAAATTTTTAAAGACAGTGTTTTACAGTGCTAAGCAATATATGAGATACGACTCTAATGGCCTAAAAATAATTTTGCTGTTTTCTTGAAAGTTAGGAAAGTGACATACACAGTCTAAAGACAGTGTTACTGCTCAACAGATTATTGGAAATCTTCCTTTAGCCTAAGCATCTGTCATTTCCCTCACCCACCCACCCCCGCCCCCCACCCCAATTTTAAAAGAAAATTTAAAAAGTAATGCCTGCCCTTGGTGGAAGTTTAGCAAATTGTAGAGATGATCAATCCTACCCCAGGCGCCCTCGCTAATACTTTGTAAGGGTCATCAGGAATGTAGAGCCCAAATCTGCTGACCTCAGTTCATCACAAAAAGAGTCACGTTTTGGCCCCAAATGACCAACGAATGGTCCTTTCCATATAATCTCCTACTAAACCTCTTCTAGAAGTCTTCTGAAAATTCGAGTTATCACAAGAAATATTTTCAAACGTCTCCCGCTTAAAAAAATTTTTACACAGAACAGAGAAAGTCCAGAAAATTAAAGGAAGACCTCTATATTTGTTCATTCATAGCAGACTACAATTGCTTCTATAGGGAAATTTCTAAAAATTGAATTCCCATCATTAACCAGAATAGCTGAACCAACTGTATTTTTCCTTATAATACAAAAACATAGGGATGACATGGGAAGAAGAAAAAAATGGATCTTGAGAGATATTTTTGGACGCAATGACAAAAAGTTATTGGAATTAAAGAATTAAAATAGTAACTCAACATATAATGTAAAGCAGGCATAAAGGTGGTGTCTTATTACACTCATGAGAAGTCAGCAGGGTTCTATCCACGGGGTCGGCAAACTATGGCTCATAGGCCAAATCCAGTCAGCTGCCTGTTTTTATGGCCCATGAGCTAAGAATGGTTTATATATTTTTAAATGGTTGAGAAAAGGACTAAAAGAAGAATAGTGACATGTGAAAATTACATGGAATTCAAATTTTAGTGTCCATGAATAAAGTTTTACTGGCATGCAGCCATGCTCATTCATGTACTGTCTATGGCTGCTTTGTGCTGCAAAAGTGGTACTGAGTAGTGGAAATAGATTATATGGCCCACAAAGCCTAAAATATTTACTATCTGTCCCTTTATAGAAAAAGTCTGCTGACTCCTGTTTTAACCCAGATTCTATAGCCATCAACTGTCTGTGTGAACCTAGGGTGGTCTCCTACCCTTTCTGGATCCACATTTGTAAACCTGGGTGAAATGGTGGTCAGGATGCCTGTAGGAGGTCAAGTACTGCTCTTGTCAAACAAAGTAGAAAGAGTGAGCAGGAATACCCACTGCTTCTACCTACAGTCCATGAAGAAAACGGCAGGCAGGAGGCTGCTGGCTGAGGCAACATCTCTTCACAGATCTCAGCATGTCCCCTTTGGTGGACAGGTTCTTAAAGGAACCATCTCCCCCAGCTAGTATCTTCCAATGAACACAATCCTGGCTGTTATGTACATTTTTAAACTAACAGACCACAACTCCAGATAAAAATACATCTTCCAACATTCACCTCTGGAGTAACTAGTCCCCCTAAAATAGAAGGAACACAAATCATTTATTACCACATTGAGCCAGAGAGGACAGCATGTATCTTTTTCTAGATCTCTGAAGGAAAAACAACAAACAAGTTTGTCATCGGAAAATTCATCTACACTCCATGTGCCACCATTCATTATGCAACTTCACAAGCACTTAGGCACACTAACTTCTGAACTTCCACGCTCTAAAAACCCAAGAAGTGGGTTTTCCACAGCTGAGAAAACCCGTATCAAAACTGCAAATAACAGACTGAATGCAAATAACACAGTAAAGTGTTAGGTTCGGCCAGCTCTGAGCGAAGCTCAGGGCCCCTCACCCTAGAGATCCTCACCATGAGCCTATGTGCCCAGCCATTTCCTCCATGAGGAAGGGGCCATGCTCCTTCAAAGCAAAACACTCATATTGAGAACTGCTAGCTTTCAGCTTCCCATAAAATCCAAACGGTGTAGAATGCTGTCTCTCTGTGCTGGTGTGTAAGGAACCCACTCTAGTAGTGATAGATAAGTCATCAAACATGGCCGCCAACATTTCCTCCCATCTCTGTATACTCTTGCTGCTCCTTCCATCACAAGAAGAAAAAAAAAGTCATTGCTGTTGAGTCAATTCCGACTCATAGTGACCCTAGAGGACAGAGGAAAACTGTCCCATAGCGTTTCCAAGGAGCGGCTGGTGGATTTCAAACTGTTCATCTTTTGGTTAGCAGCCGAGCTCTTAACCACTGTGTCTATATCCATCCTCCAATCTGTGTCAGCAATGTTGTGATCTGCTCTGACCAGAACACAACAGAAGTGATGTTCTAAGAGTTCTGAGCCCAGAAGAGTACTTGAAGCTTTTGCTTCTTCCCCATTGGAGCCCAGTGGCAAGCTAGACTAGTGAATGATTAGAGGCCACATGGAGAGGCCAGCTTGGACACTGAAAGCAGTGGCATGAGACCCCAAGAGAGACCAGCAGAACAAGCACCCCACTGAGCCAGAGCCAACCCACAGCACTGTGGGAAACATGTAGCAGAATCAGAACCTTCATTTCTAAACTAACTTTCAAGGCAAGGAAGATACTCAGAATAGTTTGGTAGGCATCTTCTGTGTGGTGTCACAAGAGCCTCCAACTTACTTCATCATCTTCATCTTCATCATCATCAGATTCAAGAACACCATCCAGTAGTTCTTCTAAAGGAAACAAAAAATCAATGAATAACCGCAAACACAGTGGGGACTTCGTCAGCAAAATCCTCCAGCCTCTACAGAGACATATAAACACCCTAATGAGGATTAAGTTACATGAAAATAACTGTGGTCTTGGTACCATTTTAGCCGTAGTTTGATAGTCATCCTAAGCAATTTCAAATATGTTTTTCCATTTTATCAGAACCCATTTATAGGAGCATATGAACAATCTGAAGCCAATATATACAGGGAGAGCTTAGGGCAAAGAAAGTAAACTAACATTGAATGCTAGGCATTGTGCTAGATACACGTGTTATTTCACTCAGTCCTTGCAAGGATTATCCTCATTTTACAGACAGCAAGGACAGGCACAGACAGGACAAGAGACTTGCTTATGACTGTACTGCCAATAAGTGGCAGAGTGGGGATTCAAAGCTGATGCTATTTCTAAATCTATGATTTTTCATTTGGGGCCAGAGGTCAAGGTCAAGGCTCCATGGCTCATTGCTAAATCTTAAAAGTTCACAAGGAACAAATAAAATTAAGTAGCTCAATAGAGTCAGAGAAAGTATAAGGTTGTTTCCTCATCTGTAAAATGGGGATTATACCACCTAGTTCTTAGGATTGTTGGGGGTGGCGCTGACAAGATACCAGAGCTAAACCAGCCAGCACAGGGCCAGGCACAGAACAGGCATTATGTATATGTTGGTTACTTTCTCTTCCACAAAGACTTCTCTGATCCCTTCACTAAGCAGGAAACCCTCCTTACCCTGAACACACTCAGCATTTTACTGGAGACTCTCTGATAGCTCTCACACTTCTGGATGATAAGTTTACCTAATGAATGAATAGCTACTGACTTGCTTGGGTATCTTTCTCACTTACTGGACTGGACTGTGAATTCTGGGGACAGAGCATCTGACTTATTTAACCCAACATCCCCACTGCTTCTTCCTTCCTATCACTCATTTCTTGATGAATGACATGAATATAAAGAAAACCTGAGAGAAGAGGAAAGGAAGTCGAACAGAAAATAAGAGGCAAGAACCAAAAGCCATACCTGAAGAGACTGCCCACCACACTTAGAAAGATACATCCTAAATTTAATCAAATATTAAATTCCTTCATTATAAACTTGCCCATCAAATTTTCACCTAATGGTTTTAACAATGATTGATGATCATTGGCTAGATCCACTATTTCATCAGCATTGCAAACTGATGGTTTTCTAGCATGTCTTCTTTATTTATTAGCTGGCCATTCTTTGATAGAGAACTTTCCAAAGTAGGGTATTCCACTTCCTAGAAAAGACTAAGTAGAAACCCCTGCTTAGAGAAGGAGGTCAGGAGGCCTCTCGTCCTCAGCGCAGCACCAGGAGCACTCACTCTGAAGGCAAGGACACCACTGGCTTCACTGGACCAAGGCCAGCAGGACACTGATGTCTGTCCCTACCTCGCCTGGGCTTGGACACCTCCACTCCTCCTGTGGGGCCATGTGCTGTCATGGTATCCTAGTTAGTCAAAGAGTCACCTAGCAGATGTGAGAATGCCCTGTCATTCTGCATTTGGGCTGACGTTTAATTGCCTAACTTCTATTTTCTACCGGTTTATGAACAGCCCTGCTCCATTCCACCTTCAGTAGACAAGCAACTGGCTTTCAAAATGGCATTGCTGCTATGTATTCACCAATTCTAAATCTCTCACTGTCAAATATATAAATGCTTTTTTTCTTTTTTCTTTTAGACATTCTGTGTAGGCCACAGAGTAGTCTAGCCACACCCCTTTCTCTTCCTCCCTCTGTCCAGCTTTCATTCCCCTGGCCAACTAATCTCTTCGTCTGTTTGTTCAGGCTCATCCTATAACCCAGTCTTGTGAACTCACCCACTGGCGTCGAGTCGATTCTGACTCATAGCGACCCTATAGGACAGAGAAGAACTGCCCCATAGGATTTCCAAGGCTGTAGTCCTTACAGAAGCAGACTGCCACATCTTTCTCCTGTGGAGTAGCTGGTGGGTTGGAACCGTCAACCTTTTGGTTAGCAGCCAAGCGCTTAACCGCTGCACCACCAGGGTTCCTTCCTGTGAACTGAGGTACTGAAGTACCTTAAAAACCTCAGATCCTCCTCTTTGGGGTTCCTGGGACATCAACCCATCTCCCACCCTGTTCCCCGAGTTGCGGCACACCCCGTGAGCTAACAGGGCAGGACGCTAGAGTTGCCAGTATCATTTCTTTCCCGAGTGTCCAGCTGGTGAACCTGGCTCTGCCTTGCTCCTGCCCAGTGACCCATCTGGTCTCCCTGTCCTCTCTTCAGTGACTGACTAGTGTCTGCTGGCCCCCTTGCTAAGGGCTAGAGCTGGGCCCTGGGCTGCAGACAGTGGTCAAACCCCCCTGCTATTGGTTGCTCACCTCTGCTTGTCAATATCAGAAGGCTGGACTTTTCCTTGAGGTTTGCAGTTCGGACCCTCTCCTGACCTAACTGTTAGGTTAAGTTCCTAAGATATACTTGAACTTTTGTGCTTGAAGATCTTAAAACTTTCTTGGAAAAAATAGAAAATACTTGAAATTTGGAGTTCGTCTATCTCCAGTATTTCCTGTAAACTGTTAGCTAGATACGGAGGTTTGATTAGATTCTGATTCAATATTTTACGCAAAACTACTTAACAGGTGGTCTCACATACTTCCTATTTCATCACAGTGATGGACATACGTCCAGCTGTCCCAGTTTTAATGATACCGAGATTAATCAGTGGGTTCAGGTGTTAACAAGCCTGAGTCTTTCATCATAAACTTCCCCATCAAATTTTCACCTTATGCTTTTAACAATGATTGAGGATCACTGGCTAGATCCACTATTTCATTAGGGTTGCAAAATGGTGGTTTTCTAGCATGTCTTCTACAGTTTTTAGCTGGCATTCTTTGATAAACAACTGTCCTAAGTAAGGTCTGAAAAACAACCTGAACAGGAGAGGCAGGATAAATGCTTGATTTTTAATCCTTTTCAGTTTCCAGAATAATATTTTGGTGCCTTAACACCTGCAAACATGACCGATGAATTTTGCTTAGTATCATTATGAACTCATTAATTTTCATATATTTAATGAATTTCACTCCAGGGAAGTTATCATTCTTTCTGATGCCCAAATTATTTCACTCTTAGCCATTGGGAGTCTACTCTTCAGGTTAACTCCTGGGTCCTTCTGACGTGACCCTGGAAGTCTTAGCTGGGTTCCCTATTTGACATGATGAGAAATACTGGATTTACCATGTTTGTTTCTGACCCCAGATCTAGAATCAGCCATTTTTTTAAGGAGCACCGGCTCTTTTTGGTGGGAAATGGAATTAGGGGCATTCATTGGCACTGGGATGTGAATTCTTCTAAGTCTTTTCAGTTAGAACTAAGAAATAAAAAGCTAAATCATGATTTTATACTGGTATTTCCAATTCAAATGGAGGATTACCAGGTTCTTCTTTTGATTTTATTTTGTATGTAGTTATATGATGACAATCTTGATTCCTATGATATTAACATAATTGCTTATTTGTTTTACTCTATAATATAAATTTCAAAATAATACCAATGTAATTACCCGCAATAAAACCATTAAATGAGGTTTAGGATTTCCTTGTTGTCCTTTTTTTCATTGGGACTTATAAATACCACCTGGGGGGTAAAGTCAAAACATAGTTTTATAAAATCACTTGAAATAACCCTTCTCTGTGTGGTTATATCACCAACTTGATAAACAGTTTAGGTTCACTTGGGTGCTTCTAACTTTCAGTACTTTTTTAAAAATTTAATTTAAAAAAACGTTATTTAAAATATTTCATAGTTCTAAAGATAAAACTATAAAGCAAGGTCGATCGAGAGAGCTCTGGCTTCCCTCCCCTTTGTTCTTCCCCATACCTTATCAGTAAACATTTTATTGTTGTTTTTTTTTTATTGGTTTTGGTTTATTCTGCTACTGGTTATTTTTATGTGTTTCTAGAAAGACTGGCATCTGTTTCCATTACCTGATCCCAGGACCCTGGGGAAGGCTCTCTTACAAAGTGGGCAGGAATTAGGAGGGGAGGAGGATGGACCACATAAAAAGAACTCCCGGTTAAAGAAGGGATTCTATAATTGCTTTTGAATTCTTTCTGCTGACTATACGCTTAGATGACAGACTGCTATATCTTTGGACAATCTGACCTTGACTACCTGGCTGAATATGTGTTTAGGGGACCATCTGGGTCTACCCTGGGGTCTAGCCTTACCCTACCTGGGTCTACCCTGGGGTCTGGCTTTACCCTACCTGGGTCTACCCGAGGGTCTAGCCTTACCCTACCAGCCGCAGGCCTCAGCTCCCCGTGCTGCTGAATGAGGCTTCTCAAATGAATTCCAAGATACAACAAACCCCTCAAAGAAAGCCCAAGGATCTTTCTGGCAAATGTGAAAGAGTTAAAGGACAGATGATAGATTCTGGCATTAAACTGACCAGAGTTAAGCTGCTTGATGATAAATTCTATCTGGCGAATCATTTCAGCGCTGCCTTCTTTGATGAAGCAGCGCAGAATGTCTTCCATTCCCTAGAAGCATTGGAGAGAATAATAGTTAACATCTCTGTTTTGCGGGGGAACTACCTTTCAATGGGGTAGTTTCATCAAGCCCCCCCGCTCCCAAAATCTTTCTTACTTGGAAGGAAGGGACACATCCATTAACAATCCCTCTGCTCAGTACTAAACGTTCTCTTTTGGTTCTTTTTCTAACTCACAGTAAAATTATTTTCTTCTTGGTTGACTATTTAAATATAATACAGGCAGCAAAAACCAACAAAAAACTACTGTAAAATCTCATCGCATGAGTACCGTATTCCCTTTGTTGTTACTGTTAGGTGCTGCAGAGTCGCTTCCGACTCATAACGACCCTCCGTACGACAGAATGAAACACCACCTGGTCTTGAGCCATTCTCACAGTCGTTGCTATGTTTGAGCCCACGTTGCAGCCACTGTGACAATCCATCTCGCTGAGGGTCTTCCCTTTAGTCTGGAAATATGTTGTTTTGGGAGGTGGTTTCTTTCCTGCGTTTTCCTAAAGTTTGCACACTGCCTTCTGGATTTCAAGACCAAACATGGTCTTTGACAAGTGAAACACACGTTTAGAGAAGTAAATGAAAAAATAAAACCTGTCTTTAAACAGCTATCATTCTTCTTCTATCAAGAGAATTATAAAGTCACTACATTATGTATTATTTTGGCTAATAAAAGATTTTTTTTTTAATTGTGCTTAAGGTGAAAGTTTACAGCTCAAGTTAGTTTCTCATTCAAAAATATATACACATTGTTTTGTGACGTTGGTTGCAATCCCCACAATGTGACAGCACTCTCCCCCTTTCCACCCCCGCTTCCCTGTGTCCATTCGTCCAGTTCCTGTCCCTTCCTGCCTTCCTGTCTTGCTTTTGGGCAGGAGTTGCCCATTTGGTCTTGTATATTTGATTGAATTGAGAAGCACGTTCCTCCCACGTGTTACTGTTTGTTTTATAGGCCTGTCTAATCTTTGTCTGAAAAGTGGCCTTCAAGTGTGGTTTCAGTTCTGAGTTAGTAGAGTGTCCGGGGGCCAGAGTCTTGGGGATTCCTCCAGTCTCTGTCAGACCAGTAAGTCTGGCCTTTTTTCGTGAATTTGAATTTTGTTCTACATTTTTCTCTCGCTCTGTCCAGGACTCTCTGTTGTGATCCCTGTCAGAGCAGTCGGTGGTGGTGGCCAGGCACCGTCTAGTTCTTCTGGGCTCAGGCTGATGGAGGCTTCAAGGTCAAGGTACTGACCTCAGCACAAGTGTCTAGTTCTCCTTTTTCCTCTTTCCTGTGGGATCTGAATGAGTGTGTATGGCTGGGGCTGATAAGGCCTTCTTGCCACCATGCAGGGAAAACAAGTCTGATAACAAACCAAAGACATAGGAAAAAGAGTATGGGGATGGTGACGAAGAAATAGGATCTTGCAACATCATGTCAGCCCAGATCAAGCTGTGCCTGCAGCAGTCCTGTGGAGTGCTTGAGTGGTCATCTTAGCTGAGCAGCTTCTAAGCCAGCTGCCTGGCTTTGCCAGAGATCCTGGGAGCCTTTCCAACAAACAGGGCACTCAGTCTGCTCCAGCCCTGGGCAGAATGCTAGCTGGAGTTTTGATCCCCAGAAGAGCTCCACGGCCAACAGGAGGCTCTTGGGGTGGGCATTAGGGACAGCCTTGTTTACCTGATCTACTCTCCAGCCCTCGTGGCACACTCTTTAAGTTCAAATGGGCTTTCGGGAACTCATATTTTTTCCCCCATTATTATTATAAGACCACTATAATAGCATTTGCTACTAATATAATTTTTATGTATTCTCTGCCCTTTTCCTTAAGCACACAATTTTACATAGTTGCAAAAACAGAGTTCTTATAATGTCATATTCTGCTTTCATCTCAATTACACAATAAAAATGTTTCCATACTGCCTCATACTGCTTTTCCTGATTATCATCTTCAACAGCTATTGATTTCAGCAAAAGAACCATAATTCCATTAGCAACCCTCTGTGACCCAGACACTGAGGCTGTCTCCAGTCTCCATCATAAAAATGTGGACCTGAGCTTCCTCACGCAGAGAGCCCTTCTCCACTTGGGTTGCTCTGTCTCCATCAGCATGCAGAAGTGAAAGGCAGGAGTCCAAACTACGGATGTGCTGGTGGTTTCCATGCGCACTGCCTCAATGCTTTCCTTAAGGGCCATGCCAGCATACATGGCGAACACCAGCAGGTCTGCGTCTGTCAGCTCCGGTGTCACGTCCCTGGGACTGTGTCTGAGCAGATGTGAAGGTGGTTGAGATGATGGGGGCATGTTTTCCTCACTGTCTGATTTCCCTTATTACTGTTATATGCAAGAAGAATGGAATAGCTTCCTCAATCTAAAAACTTCCTCAAGAGTATGAGGGAAATCTCAGGGTTTTAGGAGAACTCCACTGTAGCCATAACCATCTCTTAGCAGGCCTCTCAGGAGCTAAACAAGGCACTGCCCAGGTGAGATAGCCAAAAGCTTCCTTCACTCAGGCCGAAAGGGGCACTCCTCCGTTGCCTTATAACCTGATCCCTGTTAAAATGCCAGAGGGAAGCTTATGCTACTTACGCTTTTATCTAACTGATCCACGTTTTCTTTGTAAAGTCAGTAATTCATAGACTATCTACAGATCGATCAGAAATGATAAAATATCAATAGACTTGACTATAATTAAGGCTATTTTATGACCCAAAACACACCATAATCAAAGTTGAAAAACTGGGAAAATATCTGTAATATCTATCAAAAGATTCATTGCCCCTAAGTTCCCTTGTGATTTCTTCTTTGATCCACGTTACTGACAAGTGTGTGGCAGCCCAATCTCCAAGACAGACCCCAGTGATCCACCTCCTGGTATGCACACTACTGTGTAGCCCTCTCCCACAGCATACCAGGGTTGGTCTGTGCCACCAACAGAATGAGGCAGAAGTGATGGTACGTCACTTTGTCACTTCTGAGATTAGGTTATAAGAGATAATGTGGCTTCTGTCTTGTTTACTTTCTCTCTGATCACTCGCTCTGGGGAAGCCAGCTGCCATGCTGAGAGCAGTCCTACGGAGAAGCCCCTATGACAAAGAACAGAAGCCTACAGCCAACAGCCAGAAAGGAACTAAGGCCTCCTGCCAAAGGCCATGTGAGCGAACGGTCCTGCAGCCCAGGTCAAGCCTTCAGATGGCTGCTGCCCTGGCTGACGTCTTGACTATGACCATCTGGTGAATCTGCTCTCAAACTCCTGTTCCACAGAAACTATGAAATAATAAATGTTTGCTTTTTAAGTCACTAAGATATGAGGTAATTTGTTAGGCAGCAACAGATAACTAATACAAGTGTTATTATTTAAGCTTCAAATATTTGGGGATCTTCTAGACATCTTATGTTTGTTTTTCACTAAACTTCACCATTATTTAGTCAACCTTTTATTCTGCCCTATTCTCTCTCTCTCCTCTCCTTCTAGGACTCCAATTACATATGTTAGACTTCTTAATATTGTCCCACAGGTCTCTGAGGTGCTCTCTTTTTGTCCATATTTTCTCTCTCTGGCCTGGATGATCTCCAAGGCCCCCTCCTGCTCACATGACGTAACTCTTTCCTCCTCACGGAATCCCTGCCCTGACTGCCCGCTCTCACCCTTTCTCCACCTCTTTACCTTAGATTTGGATGTCTTTCTCTATTCTGTCTTTCACTCTTTTCAATTCAATGTCCTCTCCATTCTTTCTCTCCCACCTAGATGCTTCTCTCCTTATTCTTTGCCTTGGTTCACAATCCCTCTCTTTCACCTAAATGGTCACAATGCAGAATTTAATCAAGTTTATTTTTCCCTGTTCTTTATTGACAAAAGGAGTCCTGGTGGTGCAGTGGTTAAGTGCTTGGCTGCTAACTGAAAGGTGGGCAGTTCAAACCCACCAGCTTCTCCATGGGAGAAAGATGTGACAATCTGCTTCCATACAGATTAGTCTTGGAAACCCTATGGAGCAGTTCTACTCTGGCCTATACGGGCGCTATGAGTTGGAATTGACTCCATGGCAACAAGTTTGGTTTTCTGGTTTATTGACAAAGCAGATTTTTGATGAAAAAGCAGTGGGCAGTTAAGTTCCATTGTTTACCATGACCACACAGAGCAGTTCTTAAACACGTTTTTACCTATGGCATAACTGTTGACGTAATTTTAGACGACCAGTTAAAAGATTTAGCAACCCTTCTAAGTAAGCAACACCAGTTGGAAGAGTATGTCTTGTTGGTCTCAAACTGAATTTAGCTTGTGCTCTGACTGTGGAAACGTACTTAATCCCTTCACCATAGCACTTAGTACCCACACTGCGAACTGGTTTCACAAGCCGTATGGAAGAAGAACAAGATTAGATCTAGGAACATTTATCTTCTCAAACCAAGATGCTAATCACCTGAAGCTTGTTTTTTACTTCAGGTATAAGCATTAATGTAAACACATTAAATTTTGAATTCACTATTTACCAACCAAACCAAGGACAACGCAGTTTTATAGTCTTTACAAGCTTTCTGTTTCATTTCGTTGCTATCAGAATGTCTGCAACCTTCCAACAACAACAACAAAAATCTGCTGGGAATTTTCTAACACTGTGGTTATTAACCATTTGGAATTTGGGATCCTCTTGAGAATCGGATAAAATCTACAGACTCTCATCCCAGAAAAGTGCAGGTATGTATTTTGCACACAATTTCAGGGAGTTCGTAAACTATCTGAAGCCCTTCCACGGAGCCCAATCTAGGAACTCTGCTTTAATGGTTTATGAGCTTGGCACTGACAGAAGCTTACAAGTTTCTCAAGCACATTTTCTTACCATTGCTCTGGCTTCCTCCCGAATGGACGGAACTGAAAGGATGCTGTACAGAGCTCCATTCACATATGGCTGTATCTGTAAGGGGAGAAAGAAACAGTCATTTGCAAGTTTTCCAATACTATACAACTAGTGATCAAACACCACATTTGAGGACACCGTGCCTAACAAGGTGAGAGGGAGTCCCCATTCTCACAGCTCTCCCATTCCAGATGCCTGTTTCCAAACAGCAGATACCCTATTTGCATGCCCACTGACCTCTACAACCAAGAGTTCAAAACCAGATTCATCACTTCCAACACTTACTTTTGCTGTGTTTCATAGTTTAATTAATGTCACTACAAACCTCCCCATCCCTCAGGCTGGCAATCTGGGAGTCATCTTAGATTTCTCCCTCTTTTTACTCTCTTGTGTTCAGTCTTCAAGTTATCTTTGATATCAACCCTTCTTTTCCATGCCTGCTGCTACTTACCTTAAGACAACATCATCCATTACCTGGGCTACATCAAATCTCCAAACTAGCCTCTCCCTTCAGTGTTGACCCCTTTCATCCAGACATTATATCACGGCCAAGTTTCAACAACATGGGCCAAACCATTCCTCTCTTCACCTCAGAAACCTTCCAGAGGAAAGTTCTAACTCCTCCGCCGCCCTCTCCATCAGCTCCCTCTGCTCCTCGCCTCCCTGCCACCATGAAGTTTACACTCCACAGAGTTCATATGATTTGAGGGACCACCCCCTCGCCCCCACCACCACATCAGGCTGCACATGCTTCTGCCCTTGCTCTTGCAGCTTGCTCTTCTGGGAATGCCCTTCCCCCATGCATCTATCTGGAAAACTGATCTATCCTTTTTTTGTTTTATTATTTTTAAATATATATGACACGATATTTGCCATTTCAATGTTTTTCACGTGTATAATTTAGTGACACCAATTACATTCAATCATGTTGTGCAACCATCACCAACAATCACTGCCAAATTTCCCATCACCATGAACAGAAACTCAATGCTTCCCAAACAATGACTCCCCCTTCCCCCTCCCTCCCGTCCCTGGTAACCACTAATAAACCTTGGTCTCTATACATCTCCCTGTTCTACATATTTCCTAAGTGAGATCACACAATATTCGTCCTTTACTGACTGACTTCACTCAGCAAAATGTTTTCAAGGTTCATCAAGTTGTAGCATGTAACAGGACTTCATTTCTCTTCGTGGCTGAGTAATATTATGATTCATCCTTTAAAACTCAGCTCAGATGTCTCTCATACAATTTTAATTTACAAGTTTCTCCTTTCCTGAATCCCCCAGACAGGGTTTGTGCTAACCTCAGCTTCTTGTACATACCTTTATTGTTGTACTGAATATTGTACATTTTTAAATTAACACTTCTGTCTCCCTACTGGGGACCTGGTGGTGCAGTGGTTAAGCATCTGGCTGCTAACCAAAAGGCTGGCAGTTTGAATCCACCAGCCGCTCCTTGGAAACCCTATGGGGTAGTTCTACTATGTCCTATAGGGTCGCTATGCGTCGGAATCGACTCGATTGTAACGAGTTTTTTTTTAACGGGTCTCCCTATTATGAGCTCTCTGAGGCCAGGACCCTTGTTTTACTCACATAGGTAACCCCAGCATCAAGGAAGCACAGACCTGCCACATGGCAGGTGCTGGAGAAACGAGAGTGTTCATCTCCCCTTGCCCTTCTTCAGCATTGGATTTTATTATCACCCTTTTGATTTCTGCCCATCTGATAGGGGCAAAAAAGGTATCCTATAGTTGTTTTTACCTTCATTTCCCTGACTACTAACGAATCTGAACAACTTTTCAGATTCGTAGGCTATCAGGGTTTACTAGTCTGTGAATTACCTATTTGTATCCTTTACCCATTTCTCCCGCTTCTCCCCACCATTGGGCTGTTTGACTTTTATTTAGCAATTTATAGGGCCTCTTCATGTATTAGGGATATTAAACTTTCACCATACGTGATACAAATTTTTTTCTTGGGATACCATGTGTTTTTTGACTTTGATTATGGTCTCCTTTTCCATACAAAAAAAATTAATGTTCATATAGTCAAATATGTGCATCTTTTTCTTTTTGGCTTCTGGGTTTTGTCTTTTAAGACCACGACTACCTGATATGAGATATACATGTGTCGCATTTATTTGTAAAACAAACACATTTCTAGGCTCTAAAACATATGTAAGTCGGTTCTCTAGTTCATTTTCAAAGCAAATGCATTAGCAATGGCTAATGACATGGTTTGAATCCTTGGGTCTCTCCAGCTCTCAAAGTCTACATCCTGGTTGCAAAACTTGAAACCAAACCTTTACTATTAGATAAGAAAATGTATTTTCCACCAGCTTCAAACGCCTGAGTTAGAAGAAAACAGACAATAGAGCTCATCCAGGTCTGGCAGTCATTAAGAGTTCACTGTTGTTGCTGTGTGCAATTCTGACTCAGAGTGACCCCATGTGACAGAGGAGAACTGCCCCATAGGGTTTCCTGGGCTGTAATATATATATATTTAATAATATTTTATTGTGATTTAGGTGAAACTTCACACAGGAAATTAGGTTCCCCTTTAACAATTTTTATACAAATTGTTCTGTGACACTGGTTACATTTTTTACAATGCATCTCGTTATTTCCATCCTGTTTGTTCTGTTTCCATTGATCTAGCTTCCCTTCCCTCCTTGCCTTCTCATTTTTTTGCTTTTGGGTAAATGTTGACTGTTTGGTCTCATATAGTTAACTGGTTAAGGGAACACATTATTCACGGGTGATAGTGTTTATTTTATAAGTCAATCTATTATTTGGCTGAAAGGTGACCTGCGGAAATAGCTTCAATTCCAAGTTCAATGGGTATCTTAGGGCGATAGTCTTGGGGACTCCTCTAGTCTCTATTGATCCAGTAGGGCTGGCCTTTTTTAGGAATTTGAGTTTTGTTCCACATTTTTCTCCCATTCTATCCGGGAGCTTCTATTGTGTCCCTAGTCAGAACGGTCAGTAGTGGTAGCTGGGCACCACCTAGGTCTTTTGGTCTCAGGTTAGAAGAGGCTGTGGTTCGTGTGAGTTATTAGTCTAATGGACTAATTTCTCCTCTGAGCCTTTGGTTTCCTTCATTCTCTTTTGCTCCATACAAGCAGAGACCAATAGTTGTATCTCAGATGGCCGCTTGCAAGCTTTTAAGAGTCCAGATGCTACTCACCAAACTAGGATGTAGAACATTATCTTTGTGAACTATGCTATAACAATTGACTAAGTTGTCCCCTGAGACTGTGGTCTAGGCTGTAATCTTCACAGGAGCAGAACATCAGGTCTTTCTACCGTGAAGCTGCTGGTGAGTTCAAACCATGCTTTCAGTCAGCAGCTGAGCACTCAACCATTGTGCCACCAGGGCTCACTGGCTTTCAAATATACAAGCTGTAGCAACAACCAAACTACACACACTAAAAAAGCCCACATCAATCGGTTGATGGGACTATAGGAATGTGAGATGTGAGTGAAATGAACAAAACGGGACCTGTCTGTTTGAAATGGGAAGGCTCGTGGAAGCCTATGCTTTACTTGTGAACCAGTGGCGTTCATGCTGACCTGCTGAGACACCACTGTGCCCTACTGTCAAAGCAGATCAGATTTTTGCTGAGCCTTTAGTTTCACCTGCAATGTGATGCCATGGTTTCCACAAACACATTTGTAGAAAGCAGGTGAGAGAATAATCATATCTGTTTATTTATAGTTTCTGTTAATTCATTTATCCATATCTCTATTTAAAAAGAGTTTGCAGCCCATAGATTAGAAAACTAGCACCAAGTGCTGGGAAAAGCACTGGTGAGGACAAAGGTCATCCAGCTGTTCTGGAGGACAGCCTGGCAGGACTCAGGGGACATGAGGCAGACACGAGCCAGCAGTGACAGGGTGTCACCCCCAGAGAAGCTCCTGCCCAGGCCTTGAGGGGCAAGAGCAAAAACCTTGAGAGTGGACCTCTGGGGCAGCAGAATCTGAGGCAAGCAAGCAAAGAGCGCACCTTGGGGGCCGGAAAAGGAAAATGGGACAGATGCATAAGTGGACTATTTTGCAGCAGTAGGAATTAATGAATTATATGTGCATGAAGCAACAAAGAAAGGCCCAAAAACAGTGAAAAAACGAAGAAACAGAATGAGGTATAGACTGCAGTATTACTTGTGTAAATTAAACACACAACACAGACGACAGTATATACATTGTAAGAATACACGCATATCCGTGGACATATATCAAACACACTGCAGGGAGTGTCAGCGTGGGGAGAACTGTGAAGCAGGGATAGATGATAACATAAAAATGCAGAGGGGGACGGGGCATGGACTAGAATGATACGTGCCTTAAACGAGGAGTGGAGAACAGCTTCCTACATCTGAGTCCCAAAATTTTAAAAATTAGAAAAGATCTGAAGTAGCTTTTAAAAATACTTGGAGGAGGCAAACATGTCTGTTTTTCAAATGCAGTAACTATCCTGGGCCAGCCTCCCACCCCTATCTGTGAAGCCCCAGGCGTCCAGGTTCCCCCAAGCCCAGGGCGAGCTGCCTGACCGTGTACCTCGTGGTTTTCATGGCCAAGGAGATCTGAAAGAACTTTCAGCACGAGGCCCGCCACCTTGGCGCACGTGTTCTTCCCTGTAGGAACAACAACAACGAACAGACTCAGAAGCAGTTTCAAGCCAGGGAGGTATTTTAGGAACTGCAAACATCATCATCATCATCACTGCAAATAAACTGATGAAAATGAAGACAAGCTGACTATCATCTGATAAGTGTATTAAAAGCTAGGGCTTCTTGCTAATGCTATTATTTTTACAACGGAAGATTGAAATCGGTCATTGAGTCAGTCAACACACACAGTTGGGCGGTTCAGTTACACAGCATCTGCAGGGGAAGCAATGGCAGGAAGAAACTCCTAACAAACACCCTGAGCTATTTACCCAGGTGACCCTTTTCTCAAACACAGTGGTTGCTCAGGCTGGGGTCAGTCGCAGCCTAGACATGGCGTCTCTTCGAAATAAGCTTCTTTGGTCCTGGTTAACAGGTGGCTTAAATGGGATGGTACCTGTAGAAAAGCTAAAATCACTATCTGTATTGATCAAGTTTATGACGACCTGTGAACCCCTATCTCCAGGTGGGTAAAGTGGAGAAACTACTGTGGTTAAGAGCAGGGAGCGTGATTTAAGATCCTTGCTTCTGCCACCAACTTAATACTGTATAATCTTGGGAAAATACTTCTCTTTTCCATCTTCAGGTAAAAGGGATCATAGTTCTTAACTTCCTACCTTTGAATAACACAATGAAGAAGAAGAAAAACATAACTAATTTGATTTCTTCTCAACGCAAGCACTACATATATAAAATATTATTTCCAAGGCCACACGGTATTTTGGCTTCAGTGATTCAACAGCTTAATAATTAATCCATTGCCATCGAGTTCGTTCCGACTCACAGCAACTCTACAGACTCTACAGGATAGAGCAGACCTGCCCACCAGGTTTCCAAGGCTGTAAATCTTACAGAAGCAGACTGCCACATCTTTCTCCCGTGGAGCAGCTGGTGGGTTCAAACTCCTGACCTTTCAGTTAGCAGCCACACACTGTGCCACGAGGGCTCCTTAACAGCTTTATACCTACTTGGAAATGCTTTTCCATGAATCAACCAGTTGCTGTCGAGTCGATTCTGACTCATAGTGACCCTACAGGACAGAGTAGAACTGCCCCATAGGGTTTCCAAGGAGTGGCTGGTGGATTCGAACCACTGACCTTTAGGTTAGCAGTCGTAGCTCTTAACCACTGCGCCACCAGGGCTCCACAAATAGCCCCCTCTTCTTCTGTTTTCTATGAGGGAGCTCAAAAGCAGACCATACCAGGTTTACTGGTAATCCAGATTTGACAGCCACATCCTTTCCCTTTCCCCACACCAGAACACGGGCACCGCGACAGGTGCTGTGAGACCTGCGCTCCGGAGGCAGAGGTTCATAAGCAGAGCCACCGAGTACTCCAGCGTGTAGTCAGACAGGCAGTCGGGGTCCTTGAGAATGTCAATCAGCCAGAAGATGAGGCCATCCCGAATCATCGCCGTCTGCAGCGGGCGCCTAGGATGAAACAGCCTGCAGGTAAGTTAAAGCTGGCAAGTAAAGGAGCTTCTCACATAAGACTGTGTAGAGATCTAAGTGCCTATCGAAAGAGCCAACCGTACAGAAGATACACACCCCCAGAAATATCTTCTTGTTAGATCCATACAACTGACCCAACAAGAGCTCCTTTACCTTTCAGGGATATTAACGGTGTAAAGAAAGATAGAGGAGTAGGACCCTCCTACTTGCAAAGTTTCCTTTTCACTATTTAAATTTAGCAGAGCATTACTTCAAATTTTTAATAAATATTTATTGATAGCTTTTGGTCTACTTAACCCAGGAAAGAGGGCCATGGAAATAGTTCTTCGACAAGCAGATTTTCACTAAACTCTCGTCTGTTTATTCTAGTTTAGGCACTCCGAGCTACTTAAAGAATAACAACAAACCACAAAAGCAAAAAGCAGCTCAATACCATTTTGATTCAGATCTCTAGAGAGTCAGGGCAGTTTAACGACCTGGGTAGTACAAGTTATAAGGAATAATTTTCCACCCAAATTTCACGTGTGCAATTTTAGAAAATCCAACGTTTCATCAATATGTGTAATGGTGAATGGCAGCGTGTCAGCCCTAAGAACTGACAAGACTAAGCATGGTCTCGCCATCGGAAACCATCCGACTTCTCTGAAAATCAGAACGTCACAGATGAGGCACCACTGGGATCTCCCAACGAGCAGGTTATGGTGAATCCAGCACACAGGACGCTGCAAGGAAGCAAACATCCATTCATGCTGTTCTTAAAACACTGCACCAGCCCGACTTGTGTGACTTAAACACAACAAAGGCTGCGCTTCCTTGGTAAGCCTCGAGACTTTCCATATTCGTTGTAGAGACCCTTGAAAACTGTGAAAACATTGAGCACATTTCCAGAACAGAAAAATTAAATTACTGTTTGGAGGAAAAGGACAATTAGTCAGTAAATATCTGCATTACCAGGAAGAGGTTATTTCTCCACCATATCTTATCTCTGTCTCTTAACTACATTTATTGAATTTATTAAAAATTACTAAAAAATTTCCAAAAAGTCAACGGCTACTTATTTTTATAAAAAAAAAAAAGAAATGAAGTGCTCATATGATCAGAGGAAGGAATAACTCTGGAGATTACTTACAGTTTTTTCAATTCATGTATCTAGAAAAAAAGAGATTTTCGTTGGCAGGGACTGGGCAAATGGAAGGTACTAAATGTTTATCATTCCCCTCCTGGCAACGGATTTGGTTCCCCCACTACACATATACCGACTTTGATTACTTCATTATAAGCTTCAGGTTATTAGTGAGAGTCACTCAAATGTTCAGCACATTTGCGGGAAGGAACTGTGTTCAGAAGAGGGCTGGGGGTCAGAAAAAGCTGAGGGCTCAAAGTCCTAGAATTTTCAATTAAGTCAAACAAAAGTGGGGTGGTCACGAGGGAGCACCCATGCTGAAGGAAACACCTCATGGCCCAGCAATTCCACTCCTAGACACCTGCCCAAGAGAAGGAAAACACATCCACACAAAGACTTGTATGTCAATGTGCTTAGCAGCGTTATTTACAATCGCCAAAAAGTGGAAACAACCCAAATGTCCATCAACTGATGAGTGGATAAATAAAATGTGGTACATCCATATAATGGAATACTATTTGGCAATAACTGAAGTACTGATAAATGCTAAAATGTAGATGAACCTTGAAAATGTTATGCTAAGAAGCCAGTTATGGAAAAACACATATCATATGATTTCATTGATAAGCAATGTCCAGAAAAGGAAAATCTACAGAGACAGAAAGTAGATTAGTGGTTGCCTAGGGCTAGGGGGAATGGGGAGTAACTGTAAATGGGCATCAGGCTTCTTTTTGGGGTGATGGAAATGTTCTAAAATTAGACTGTAGTGATAGTTGCACAACTCTGTGAATATATTAAAAATCACTGAGTTGTACTGCAAACAGGTGATTGGTATGGTATGGTACCTCAACAAACCACCACTCATCTGTCAGTCTGTCATATGTGGTGGCCTGCGTGTTGCTGCGATGCTGGAAGCTATGACACCGGTATTTCAAATACCAGCAGGGTCACCCACGGTGGACAGGTTTCAGCAGAGCTTCCAGACTAAAACAGACTAGGAAGAAGGACCTGGTAGTCTACTTCCGAAAAAAATGGCCAGTGAAAACTTTACGAATAGCAGCGGAATATCTAGTGCTGGAAGATGAGGCCTTCAGGTTGGAAGGCACTTAAAATACGAGTGAAGAGAGCTGTTTCTTCAAAGTAGAGTCAATCTTAATGATGTGGATGGAGTCAAGCTTTTGGGACCTTCATTTGCTGATGTGGCACGAATCAAAATGAGAAGAAACAGCTGCAAATATCTACTAATAATCAGAACATGCAATGTATGAAGTATGAATCTAGAAAAATGGGAAGTCATCAAAAATGAAATGGAATGCATAAAGATCGATATCCTCGGCATTAGAGAGCTGAAGTTGACTGGTATTGGCCATTTTGAATCCGACAATCATACGGTCTACTATGCTGGGAATGACAACTTGAAAAGGAATGGCGTCGTATTCACTGTCAAAAAAAAAATTTTAAAATCTGTCCCAAAGTACAACACTGTTCAGTGATAGGATAATATCCATATGCCTACAAGGAAGAACAGTTAATACAACTATTATTAAAATTTATGCGCCAACCATTAATGCCAAAGATGAAGAAATTGAAGACTTTTACCAAATTCTGCAGTCTGAAATTGACCAAATACGCAATCAAGATGCATTGATAATTACTGGTGGTAGGAATGTGAAAGCTGGAAACAAAGAAGGATTGGTAGTTGGAAAATATGGCCTTGGTGACAGAAATAACACAGGAGATCACGATAGAATTTTGCAAGAACAACGACTTCTTCATTGCAAATATCTTTTTTTCAACAACATAAATGGCTACTATACACGTGGACCTTGCCAGATGGAATACACAGGAATCAAACTGACTACATCTGTGGAAAGAGGCGACAGAGAAGCTCAATGTCAGAACAAGGCCAAGGGCCGACTGTGGACCAGACCATCAATTGCTTATATGCAAGTCTAAGCTGAAGCTGATGAAAATTAAAACAAATCCACAAGAGCCAAAGTATGATCTTGAGTATATCCCTCCTGAATTTAGAGACCATCTGAAGAACAGATCTGACGCAATGAACACTAATGACCGAAGACCAGACAACTCGTGGGATGACATCAAAGGCATTGTACACAAAGAAAGCAAAAGATCATTAAAAAGACAAGAAAGAAAGAAAAGACCAAAATGATGTCAAAATTTGCTCTTGAACATCGAGTAGCTAAAATGAATAGAAGAAATGATGAAGTAAAAGAGCGGAACAGAAAATTTCAAAGGGTGGCTGGAGAAGACAAAGTAAAATATTATAATGAGATATTCAAGGACCTGGAGTTAGAAAACCAAAAACGAATAACATGCTCAGCATTACTCAAGCCAAAGGAACTGAAGAAAAAATTCAAGCCCTGAGTTGCAATACTGAAGGATTCTGTGGGGAAAACACTGAACGATGCAGGAAGCATCAAAAGAAGATGGAAGGAATATACAGAATCACTATACCAAAAAGAATTGGTCAACATTCAACCATTTCAGGAGGCAGCGTATGATCAAGAACTGATGGTACTGAAGGAAGAAGTCCAAGCTTCACTGGAGGCATTGGCAAAAAACAAGGCTCC